GACGCCACAGCGGGACACGAGTTCCTGAGCTTTCTTGACGCATACTCGGGCTACAACCAGATGCCTATGGAGTAGGACGACCAGGAGAAAACTACATTCATCACTCACAGGGGGGAACGTGCTGCTATAGAGTCATGTCATTCGGGTTAAAGAACGCAGGGGCAACGTACCAAAGGCTGGTCACGAAGACGTTCAAAAACCAACTTGCCAAGACCATGGAAGTATACATCGACGACATGTTAGTCAAATCCTTGAGGGTTATGGATTACATCGACCAATCTGAAGGAAACATTTGAAATTTTGAGGAAATACGGGATGAAATTGAACCCTGATAAATGCACGTTTGTAAATTTTTGGGTTTCCTGGTGTCACAGCGCGGAATCGAGGTCAACCCAGATTAAATTAAGGCCATAGACAGGATATCAGAACACCTAACTACCAAGAAACAAGTCCAACAACTGACGAGTCGAGTCGCCGCCCTGTCCGGATTTATCTCAAGGTCGTCCAACAGATGCCACAGATTCTTCAATGTACTCAAAAAGGACAATGGCCTCGAATGGACGCTCAAATGCAAAAAACCGTTGAAAGAGCTCAAGGAATACCTGTCATCACAACCCCTACTCTCAAAACCTGAGCCCGGAGAACGTCTCCTCGTCTACCTCGCCATTTCAGAGGTAGCGGTAAGTGCGATCCTAGTTCGAGAAGATAAAGGTTCGCAATCTCCAATTTACTATATCAGTAAGACACTTATCGACACCGAGACGAGGTATCCTTACCTTGAGAAATTGGCCCTGGCCCTTCTCATAGCTTCAAGAAAGCTCAAGCCATACTTCTAATGCCATCCAATTTCGGTCGTCACCGCGTTTCCTTTAAGGAATATACTGCACAAACCCAAACTGTCAGGGAGGCCGACCAAATGGGCAATAGAGTTGTGAGCACGACATCACTTACCAACCTCGCACAACCATAAAATCACAAGTGCTCGCCGACTTTGTCGCGGACTTTAGCGCCAAGGTAATGCCCGAGGCCGAAAAGGAAGCCACGTATGTTTCTGGCCTAGCGCAAGACCTCTGGGTCTTGCACACCCACGGTGCATCCAATGCATGCGGGTCCGATCTGAGACTCGTGCTCGAAGTCCCCCCCC